TCGGCACTCTTATTAAAGGTCAATAAGAAATTATCTGTGAGCGTCACCTTGTTAAAATCTAGACTTAAAGCTATAAGGTCACATGTCTAGTGGTCAAAAATATGCAACATGGGGGCGCCCGGGTAAGAAACGCTTTCAGTTGCCAGTTTATCGATTTAAGCCCCCCTACCTCGTTGGTGATAGTCTAGCCGGTGAGGCGCTAAAAATGAGGCGCCCCTTGACGATGCCCTTTTCTCGCTGCCCAAATGGGTTCCATGGGTTCGCAGCGTGGAATGCGATCGAACATGGAGTAAACCGGATTACGACTGCGGTGGTCTATATACTTTCACCATCATCATTTGGCCACGCCCAATATGTCGTCCTCGGCGAGAACAAGTGCGATTAACCAAAAGCATGCTGGGTGAAGTCATGCAGAGGCCAGGTATATACGCAGATTCGCGAGCCTCCATAGGTTATGATAAAATTTGCCGTCTCACCAGATATGTCAAATGGATATATTCAAATTTAAATAAAAATAGTCTTGTAATTTCTAACGACGTAATTTAACAAAAAAAAAAGTAGATCTCATTGACTTCACGTGCAGATGAAGGACCAGCGAAGCGGTTTTCTTTTCGACAACTTTACGATAACTATACAACATCTCTACGATTTACATATGATTGCAATGAAGACACGTAGACGACTTTGTTGTTTAATTGTCTTGATTTATTTCCTAGTGACTAAAGTGATCATTACCTTATGGTCACTTATGGGCAAGTTCTGAACATAATTTGTTTAGTCACTTAAGGTACGTCAGGCTGTACACAGGCACACGTTGAGGACAGTATTTTTCCCCGATTGAGCCCAAGTCTCTTTATCAGCCCCGCGGAAGCGAAAGAAAAGAAGGTTAGATCGGCGCGTTCTGCCCTCAGCCTCGTCACAGCACACTCTTCGCCGAGATAAGTCGGTGACCGTAGATGATAACAACTTAACAAGGGATCAGGACCTCACTATCTAATAATGTCAAGGAAGGCTGACTTACGCGAGTTGCCCCCACTTTTTATTTATACTTGCAACGACCAATCGAAACAGAAAAGCGCGGGAGTTTTTTTTTTTGTTATTAACATCCATAGACGGCATTCTTTTCCCAGATATCAACGCAAAACACCTTCGACGTAAAAAAAAAAAAAAAAAAGGCGGCCGGGTAATGTAGGTATTGTTTATGTTGTATTTTAAAGATCGATCTTGTTATAATCAAAACCTATAAGTAAACAACACCTTAGAAAGACGATACGACTGTAACATCTTCATTGGGAAAGCATGTGCTTAAACAGCGCGAGCGCTTCGCACTTATTCAGATTACAAGCTTTTTTGTTGATAAAGGCTCGTTCACACAGATGCGTCGACCGCATTGCGCTGCGTTGCGTCGTGCAGCACAGCGGCTCCCCATTGGCTCGTCGTAAGAGTCGCCATAGCAACCACTCGACGCAAGCAGTCTTAACGCAGTCAAACGCAGGCGTCTGAACCGACCTTAACTCATTGCCAACCACGTGTGAGTGCAAGTCTTGCACTCATTGGTTTGTGCAAGCTAGTCGCTGGAAAACCGATGGCCGTCCACTGCCTCTTCAGCGCGCCTCTCATCGGCAGTCGGTAAGGGAAATCTAAAAAAAAAAGAAGAAACGCTCGGAGACGAGTTTATTGGTATTGCCTTTCTTGTTGGGCAATTGCATTGTAGATTTAGTGGAGATTAAACCCTTTTCAAATGTCCATCAAGCAACATTTATGATCGGTATTTCTTGGGTGCAACGGACGCATTAGGTCAACGAAGGCATCTGCTACGGTAGCGAAGGGTCAATCGCTCCGCAGACTCTCTGCTCAGGGGTATCGAAATGTGATAAGAGATGCGACAAGGGGAAGGGGGTCAAAAAGGAGAGAGTCTAAAGCGAAGCAGAGTGGAAAGGACGCTTAAGGTAAGTCAGCCTGTACTCCCTATACACCAACTCATGTTTACAAACAAACCGGAGCGCCCCTAGCGGACGCCACCCACGCCGCGCATGCGCGATGGGGGTGTGGGCAAGAAGCTCGCCGTCGCCCATAAGCAAACCACTGAAATGCGATGTTGTCGGCGTCGGTGTGAGTCCTCCTGCTCTTTTTAGCGTTCGAATTGATGATTCTACGTCTTCCTGGCGATGTCTGACTACTAGAGCGGCGTCAGCGAAATTACCGAGGCTCGTTACACCGCGAAACTTCGCGTGAATAATGTGAAATGTGGGGATTCACTCCGCGTGAACGCCGCAGTATGTACGCTAAAACCTGATTCGCATGATGAGATTTCGCACGCAATTTTCAGTCGCGACGCCGCTCGGGCTGCAAAAGCGTAAACCGTTGCTGAGATGGTCGACTTCGATACTGAAAATCGCAAGCAGAATCGGACCAAGTCAATTAAGCATAGCAAGCCAGTGATGGTCTCTGGTAACAATGATCAGCATCTCCTTGTATTTACTATTTACATCGAGCCTGCTTACCAACCTTCAAACTTAAGTATTTTGAGGCCTGTACTTACTTTTTATAACAAGTACCGGGCAAACATTTGGCCTACGGGCCGGCGCCGTCTAAGAAAGCAGACGACAAGCAGAAACGTTTGAAAGCAGACGACAGTTCGAACGATCAGGCGGCCGTTTGAACTTGAAGACGCACTGAACGTAGTCCGCAGGTGGTCCGCACAACTTGATGGTTTTCTGGCGTTCATGTTGAAACAAAACAAATAAATTTGATGACCACAAGTATCCGTGAATTCAACCCAAAGTGGTTCCCGCCCAAGCAATCGTTGTCCGACGGCGTCTGCTTTTCCCCTTTCACGGCACTTGTCCAGATTCTCGGACGAACCGAGCACGTAAAACTGACCTTCAGACCTTTCTCGACACTTTTGGTACGGCCCCAGTCGCGACGTTTTGACGAGAAGGCAGGTTTTTGTCTGGTTCCTTTCAAAACAACGCAGGAATACACGTCTGGCATGTGGACTTCTGCCCACAGCCCCAGACCGGAAGCGCGACTCACGCGCCATCACCGCGCCGTGACGGCACAGAGTTGAGTTGGTGTATATAATGAAATGCGACAACGCCGGTATGCCGCAGACAGCTGCGGGTGACATCCGCTAAAGCTACGAAGCGCTACAACGGTGAACCGGTAAGTGCATGAATGCTCCGCATTCCCAGCCCTGGTAGTTGTGTTTCATATGAAAACTTCAAAATGTTAGATTGACAGGAATAAACGCTCGTTTTAAAAGGTTCTTAAAACAAGTGTAAAAATATATGTTTCCAGAAATCACGAATTAGCCTCGGAACGAACACTGAGCCCGGGAGTTGACGACAGCAGCTCTTCGGCGTGTCGTAAAGTTTAGTGCAGCGACGACCTTTGCGAGGATGTAACAAAACAAACTTTTAGGGAGCGCTTTAGCATAAACAATAGAGAAAATGTTATTGTCTTTTGGAAACAACCCTACTTGGGTAGTAATTCAATTACAGTAATTGAATTACTGTAGTTGAATTACTTTTCCTGGTAATTTGTGATCATAATTAATTATAGTTTGGCTAAAGGAATTTTAATTGTAGTTTAATTACTTTCTAGCGTCAGTAATGGCAAAACTTCAGGCACAATTACAATTACTTTTGCAAGATTCTGCGGCGCCGGCGCTTTCCCCCCCCTGACCACGGGGACGACAGTACAGCCAAAGCAACAGGGGAGAAAGTGTATCCCAACTTGCTCAAGAGGAAAAGGAGGAATGGGAAAGAGCGGCTGGGATACAACGGAATGAATGGTTTTGTAGACTGTAAAACGATTTAATGAAAAATTTAAAAAAATATGATAAATGATGGTTACATTTGCATCCGTTTTCGTTCCTGTCATAGCTGAATCTGTATCTTCGTCTCATTCGCTTCCTGTTGCTCGTGCTCCTAGGGGCCTTTCTTATTTCTCATTCCCATCCGGGGACATCGGGGGTTAAAGTCGAGCTCGTTGGGCTCCGATCACATCATCCGTTCGAGGCTGGGAGGTTCGAGGTTCTCCGTCTTCGCTGCCAGTATATTCGCTTACATATTCCAGTAAAGGTTGATGATTGTTATTTTCCATGAATTTATTCTCTTATCTTTATGAGTTTTTCACGTCCCTCTTCTCTAGCTCGTCTGTTGGTACCACTAGCATTAAGTTGTGCTACTCTAGCATCGAGGCGAAGAGGCAGCAGGTCTCGTTAACAAGACTCCCCCCCCCCCCCCCCCCCTCGCCTTACTTCCAACCGTTGTTGCTACATTGCTCTTCGCTCTCCCAATCCTCGTCTACCTTTTTGTATATATTTTCATTTTTTACTGTTTTCTCTAGCCCCTGACTGTTTGAACCGTTTCTAAACCTGATTGGACAAGATTCAGAAATTTTAAAAACCGCGGCTTAGACTGTCGGGAGCTTGTTTGCTACATTTATTTTTCAATGAAGCCTTTTATTTCTATGAAGGGCTTCTCACGCACGTGCGTGGCTTGGAGCAAACCGGCATTCAAAACTTTGATTTGCTGAGATTGACTCAAAATTCATGATCGCTCATCCCCTTGGTTTTCTTTCCATGCAAAAATCTCAATGTCCACGTGCAGATGATCACAAAACCTTGTGTAGCACAGCTCCATATGTTCACAGTTGAACGCCCTTTGTAATAATGACATGTAAAACTATATGGATCAGACAGCTGCACGCGCATCACCGTGCTGTGTTCCATTTTCTCTTTATGCTCGTATATTCGTACACTCTAAGGTCCAACGTGGTCATGTCCCGGAGGCTAACTTCATGACGGGGATTTCTCATATGTATTAATGTTAATGGCGATAATTATGTCCTTTGGAGGTGCGGAAATGATAACTTATTTTTTATCTATTTTTCTAGGAAAAAGACGTTGGTCCACGGATAGCTGAGCTGACCGTTCACCTCACACGAGTTCTGTCAAAAGTCGCCAATAAGGTCCTAAAAAGAGATAAGTACTGATGGAGACCCAGAAAATAATCTCCAATGGTCCAGCATACACGGAAGTAGATGGCTTCGTGATGAGTGCAAACTTCATGCCGGAACTGGTCCGAAGCGCCATTAAGTACCGCCCTCGCTCCAACGACCTGTTCTTGGCCACATTTCCCAAGTGCGGTACCTTTTGGGCCAGCCACATCGTTTACCTGATCTTCACCAAGGGAGTGCCACCCTCCTGTGCCCTGGACATTCTTCTGAGAAACCCTACGCTCGAAATGGTAGGAGCCAAGGTCATCGATGCCATGACGCTCCCTGGACTCATTGTGACCCACCTGCCCCACCGCCTCACGCCGTGGGACTCCAGTGCCAAGTACATTTACGTTTGCAGAAATCCGAAGGACGTTTGCGTTTCATTTTTTCTTCACACTCGCACTATGGCCGGCTACGAATACGAACATGGACAATTCGAAGATTTCTTCGAGATATTCATGAGCGGAAAAAACAGTTTCGGCGACTACTTCGAGCACGTTACTTCCTGGTACGCTCACAGCCGGGAACCCAATGTCCTTTTCCTCCACTACGAAGACATGAAGCGTGACCCCAGATATTACGTTCTAGAAATCGCCAAGTTTATGGGCAACGAATACCACACAATGTTGCTTCAAAATGAAGGCATACTAGAGAACGTGGTGGAATTCAGCAGCATAAAACGCATGAAGCAATACGCCGACCAAAACTTTAAAGACTTTTTTGGGGAACCGATTACACGCGAAGACGTTCCCGAGGGACTGAGAAATTTGCACAAAGCATGCCAGCGTCGCCCGGGGACCGGCAGTCCCATACGGAACGGCGTCGTTGGTGGCTGGAAGACGTTCTTAACTTCCGAAATGAACGTCAAGATGGAAGAGAAGATCTTGCAGAAGCTGTCCCACACCAATATCGTCGACGTGTGGAGAAGACACGGCATCATGCGGCCCTGCGTTGAGTAGGCATCCGTCCGAAGAAACGTACTTTTATTCAGTTAGCAGATGTGCGTTGCCACGATACCCTTTGCATCGCCAAAGAAATATTAACGTTTGTATCCCGGACTTTTCGTGTGTGTTTAGTGTGGTGATACTTGGAAACGCTGTTCTTTTTTAGAACGTTAGTCTATACCGCACTATGTGGATTGAAAAAAAGAAAATGAAAATCGCGAGGTTGAATGCTAAAAAATAGTAGAGCTATCTTGAAGTCTTACTGCTCAGAAATGATTGAATTACAAATTTTTGAATGGAGTATCCTAGGAATCCTGATATGAATAGTGATCTCCTAATTTTGGAATATGTCTGTATCATTTGGGACCCACACACACAAATATGTATGAACCAAATCGAAAGAATTCAGAATCAGGCTGCGAACTATGGGCTAAATAACTATGGCGTTCACGATAATATCTTTCAATTAAAGCTCCAGCTCGGATGGAAACCTTTACAACAAGAACAAAAGTGCCACCGTCTCAACTTAAAGCATAATCTATATAACGGTATAGCATCGGGATAGGTACATCAGGGTGCCCCTATTGGCCCCTCACTATGTTTCTCTTCAAAGTAGCAATAAAAAAAGTCCGAGAATTTTTCGCACGTAGTGACGTCCCAATATATTAATATTTCCTAAACAATTCATGACTGAAACATTCTGCCTGACTCACTGGTAGAGCTTCCTCACGTTAAATCCATTTTTTTTATGAAATCATGTTATTGTAGTCTGTTTTGGCGGTTTATTTCGTTCGATCTTTGGTTGCTGTTGATTGTGTTCCCATATTATTGTAGTATATATTGGCATGTTTCTCCCATATGGTTTGATATTTTTGTTGCTTGTTCCGCTATATGTTCGTTTTTGTATATTTATTACTGTAACGCCCACCGGGCAATATCGGTACCAAATAAATATATAAACTAAATAAATAAAAATAAAAATCTCGTATACAATGTATTTTTGCAAACCCGGACCAAATCGATCCTGCGAAAACCACGCATAGCACAGTAAGAAGGTAGATGACGCAGTGGTCTGTGCCAAAAGGTTCAATAAAGAAAATGATTAGCGTTCAGTACATTTGGGTAATAGATATTTTCCAAAGGTAAAAATTTCTATGATTAATTTTAAATGTATGGTTTGAACAAGAATATTGATGCGAATCACTGAAAACTACTAAATACGCCCACATCCTCTGGACCCGGTGGGTCCCCACGGAGACCAACCCTGCCGACGCCCCCTCACGTCTCAACCGCACTCTGGTCCCATTCTGACCAATGAGGGGGCGCTGCCAGGGAGGGCTTCTGTCCTTCATATAAGAGGGCAGAACCGTGGGGAGGCCATTCGAGTCCGAGAGGCCAAGGGTACCAAAAAGAAGAAGTTGCCGGGCTCGGATGTTGGTTTTTACCGTGGCGCGGCATTTTCGAAATGTTTAATGATTTCGCCGATTGAAGACCTTTTTCGACGTCCTTCTATCCACCCAAGACGAAGACAGCGCCTATGGAAGTCGCTCAACACCCTTCCGTTATGCGCAAGGCAGAGAAATGGTCTATCGTGATCCCTCGCTCACCTGCATGCTCGCCTTGATTATTCAACGGCCGTCTTTGTTGTTGTTTTTTTTTTGTTTTTTTTAAAGACTGCTTCCGTGTGCCCGGGCGCAACATAATCGCTCAAGGCTCACCACCAAACCACATCAGACCCAGCTCTTGTCAACGGAAGCTGTAGCGCCGTGGTTGAGCCTCATCGGGACCATCTTAGTTCGACGGCTTTGAAAAGAAACCCGTGGACATTCAGAACGTTTCCTGCATTGTCTGCGGAGAGTGCTCAGCTGCGACAGACGCCGGTGCCTCACGTGCAAAGCCGCCAAGGTACATTTAATTTCGCGGGTGAGCCTGGAATGTTTTTACTACATTGGATTGTCCTTCTTAATCGTATTTGCGTTGCACCGTCTCGTGCCACTTCTTTGTCGTCGCTGTTTTGTGGTCATGGCCAAACCTGCAGTGTGTGGTGCTTGCTCCGATCCTATGACAACCGACGGCAGAAACATGAGGTGCTGTGACTGTTCTATAGCCACTATCATTTAGGTAAAAAATGTTCTGGCATTGCCGACGGCACGTTTAAAGGTATGAGCGCAGCCAAACTTGACAAGTGGCGATGCCTCGCATGCCGTGAAGGACAAGCAAAATCCAACTTAAGCATCAACTCCCCGTCCTCGCAAGTGGAGCCACCTGGATCCTTGGATCAGCTTTTGACGGTGCAACAGAAACTTGATCGCCTACTTTCTCTCAAAGACGCCGTGGATAATCTACAAGAACTGCACCCAAAAATTGATGCCTTATTGTCATTGAAGCTCACGATCGATACTATGCGCAACACCATTAATGAGATGCAAACATCGATGAATTTTGTTTCTTCTCAGTATGATTCGCTGGCGAATTCGACGGAAGCCCACGAAAAAGCTGTCAAAGAGCTTCAGACAGAAACCAAGGCCTTGAGGTCATTAATATCGGACCAGGCGCTTGAAATCAGTGTTGCGGAGTTGCCACTCCGGAGTTGGAATGATTCCGGAATCATTCCGCATTTTCACGACCCCGGAATGGAATGGGAATTGAATGGCGGCAACGTTGAGGGGAATGGAATGGGAATGGAATTAGGTGCCTTTTGTCGGGAATGGAATGGGCACAGTTCTTCTTTATTTTTTCTTTTTTTTTGTGTTTACTGTTAGCTAATCCGAGCCAGTCAGTGAGTCAGTTGCTCAGAAATAAAATGAGCGGGAAACTGCTAGCCCGCGTGGAGCCGACTTATACGCCAAAAAAATGCAATTTGGAATACATTTTAGCGCTCAAAAAACAGGGACAAAGAGGCGAGAAACAGACAGCACAGTGCGCTACTAACAACTGATTTTATTACGTGAAACGACACTTTTATACCATCCGAGTTTCTGATTCTGCTCCACCACTATCCAACCCGGTGCCAGGCCGCGTCATTGAGGAACGCACGCTCCTTGTCCAGTAAATCAATTGAGGCCACGCTGACACATGCTGCACCACCCTTCCTAATCTCATCTGCCTCTTTGTCCCTGTTTTTTGAGCGCTAAAATGTATTCCAAATTCCAAAACCAACTAGCCCAGCAATCGACTCTACTAAAAAAATGCAATACAAAAAACAAGCGTTAAAGCAAAGAGCAAATGGGGTAACGTGGCTCCTTTCACGGACGCGCAGGCGTCGGGCTTCGATGGCGTTACACGAGAGCGAAACAAGAAACCAAGCACCAAGCAAAAGAAAAGGGAGTGGCAAAGAAAGAAACCGCCATGCACAACTCCTCATCGTACTTCTTGTCATGCTTTTTTTGTTGTTGCGACGGCTTGTAGAATGCACGCGCGCGCGCAGACTGAGTGAGATCTGGGAGCGGAAGCGACTCATAACTCGCAGAACTCGTTGACTTAGGCGCCGTCGAAAGATGATCAGGTATTGTGTTCTTATCAGTGTTGCGGAGTTGCCACTCCGGAGTTGGAATGATTCCGGAATCATTCCGCATTTTCACGACCCCGGAATGGAATGGGAATGGAATGGCGGCAACGTTCAGGGGAATGGAATGGGAATGGAATTAGATGCCTTTTGCCCTGAATGGAATGGGAATGGATTGAACCAGAATCCTTATATATTCTTTTTTTTTCTACGTTGAGCTATACCGAGCCAGTCAGGGAGTCGCTTGTTCAGAAATAAAATGAGCGGGAAACTGGGAACTGGGAAACTGGGAAACTGGGGGTAAGGCCTTAACAGACTTATATGGAAAAAAAAATGCAATACGAAAAACAAGCGTCAAAGCAAAGAACAGAAAGGGGGGGGGGGGGGGGAGCGGCGGTGGCGCCTGTCACCAGTGAAGTTCAACACGTATCCGAACGCGTCTGCGCCTGTAATATTGAACCGCTCAAAGATACGTCATCAGCCGACGTGAACGTGACCCGCTGCTCTGGTGATCCGATACCCAGGAAGGAGGCCAGACGTGGCCTCGTTGTGTGGACCCAGGCTTCGTACACCTGCGACTCTCGAGCGCGCTGTCTCTTGGAGAGCTCGCACGTGTGCCGGCAATATCAGGTCGCGATCCACGTAGTCTCTGTTTGGATTATGCTAGGCGAAACTTGAAGACTGCCATTCATGCGTTGGAGGCGGAGAGTCGGCAGGAAGGACCGTCAAAACAGGGATGCCAACGTATCGATTTTTCACTGCCGTAACAGAAGATAATACATGTAGTTCAGGATGCTTCAGGTGGTCCACTTTCTCGAAAATTCCAGATGCAACTGCCTGCATGGTTTTCAACGAGGTCACCTACAACGAAAGTCCGTATTAATTGTCCTTTCATACAGCAGCGTGGGTAAAGTTTCATGTTCAAGAATACTAGTTCACCCACCGTGACGTCATGTGATCAGTTCTGACAGGGGCGCCCTTATTGGACAGAGAAGTGTTGATGTTTTGATGGAATTTATTTAGAGATCGAAGTCGTTTCGCATCACTGGTCAGCCAGACAGGTTGCCACGGAAGGGACCGCGGTCAATCCTTGATGGAACGTTTTTTTAAACCGATTGACTTGAGGGCTCTTCGTCCGGAACCACTACCTTCAAGGCGAAGTGCCAAGCCCGCGGAAAAGTAATTTCGAGACAAAAAAAAAAAAATAATAAAGAAAAGTTTCATTTCAAATTTATAGCCCCATCTCAGTTAGTGTCTCACAGAAATTTGAAAAATGTATTGCATTATCAGTATTCATATTTCTGCCCTCCCTAAAATGTATTCTTGTATTTGTATTTCCCAAGACGTTTTGCCTCTTCTTAAGATGCATTTCCGATACGTATCGCGATACATTTTTACAGATATATTTGAGACTTGAGTATCAGTATCTTAGCAACTATTTTCATCTATCCCTGTATTTTAATTTCCACATACATTTTTTAACATTTCTGCCCAACCCTGCAACACAATGTAGTTGTCAAGTCCCTTTTTTACGTTTAGGAATCAGAGGAATGGAATGGACCGATTCAGCGATTCCAGGAGTGGGAACGGGCCCAGTGTCCCCATTCCTAGGAGTTGAAAAGAATGGAATTATCGAAAAGTCTAATTCCCCGGAATGGAATTGGAATGGAATGGGGGTGCCCATTCCGCAACACTGGTTCTTATAGTTCGAGGCGCGTTGTTTAGCAGGCAGCCAACCCTGCTCCCTTTCACATTCATTCGTGCGCACTCCCTTGAAGTGTGAAATGTGGGTTTGCTTCGGCATTAAAACAAAGCGAGATTCACTTCCCTCTTCTCCTCTTGCGCTTTGCTCCG